GCATAATTACCCCCCCCCCCCCTTTTAGACTGACATTTTCTTCATTTTTTTGTCTGTAGTCATAATTCACTGATATAGCAGATTAAGGCTTTCTTTTGCAGTTGCTTTAATCAATCATTAGTTAAAATAAAGACAATGCAATTTGCACTAGTAGAATATACTTTTAACCACCAAAAATCCCAAACTGAGTCGACATCTAACAAAAAAAAATAAAAAAATATAAAAAAAACGATTTAAATTTTAAAAAATCTGATTTAAATTTTAAAAAATCGATTTTAAAATTGTTTTTTAAACAAATAAAAAATCACCAACCCTGACACACACACATACACACACACACACACACACCCACACCCAGACACACACCCACACACCCAAACACACACGACACACACACGCAAACACACACGACACACACACACACACACACACACACACACACACACACACACACACACACACAAATGCGTGAAAGCCAACTTGTCTTGGCACGCGCGCAGGCTTAGCCAGCCACTTCTGTCAAACTCGAGACTCGAGGTCTCGATCTCAAGAGCTATTTTTAGCAGTGTTCAAGACTCGAGGTCTCGATCTTAAGAGCTATTTTTAGCAGTGTTCAAGTCATGGCCTCTAAACAGCCCACTTGAAGCAGCTTCCAAACTCGAAAATCGGACTCGATTCCTCGATCCTTTTTCAGTTTTGGGATCGAGGCCTCGAGTCTTTTTGCCGTCGATCTTGCCCTGGCCTAGTCTTGAGCACTCCGAATGCTCCCTTTGATACCATCATACGAGTACGAGTCATCGTCATAGAATCTAGATCTAGATATAGATCTAGTTCGCTGTTCATTGCCGAAACGAAAAGAACGGGCCGCCTCCACCAAATCAAGTGCTGACTAGTGACTGTCGGTGTCGGGCGTTAAAATGGTTCTACCCTAATGCTTTTCCCGCTCAGCCCTGAATTGAAGCAAACTCGCAAAAATAATATTATTACATCATGTATATTATTCAATATACGGCCCAAAGCTGGGGAGGACACAGACACACACCATCACACACACGCACGCAAGAACGCGAGCGCGCGCACGCACACACACA